CATTTTTTAACTATCTTCAGCAAAAAATGTACTTGCATAGGAGATTAATGATTTGTTCAATCATTTTCACATTCCATTGGGTCATTTTTCTTTGGGATGGACATCCAGATGGCTCTCTTCCAGGTGATTGCCCGGTGTGCTTGCTGCCTTCCCAATTTGCTGCATGAGACCAGTGTTTCCTGTGCTGCATCAGTGTGCTGAAATATTTCCATTGTCATTCCTTCAATTCCTGGAGGCGTGGCTGTGGCCATGCCTTCAGTACAGCCTAGACTTCTTCCTCCAGTACCATCAGTTCTTGATCATATGCCATCTCTCGAAATGTTTGAGAATCTACCAGTTCTTTTTGGTATAGTGGCTCTGTATTCCTTCCATTTTCTTTTGATACTCCCTGAATTAGTCAATCATTTGTCCAGGGAATCCTTCAATATTGTAACTCAAAATGACTTTTGTTTACTTCTTTCAGCTTGAGATAAATTGAGCATGTTCTTCCCTCTTGGCTTTCTAACCCCAGGCCTTGGCACGTCTTATCATCAAGTTGCATCTTATCTTCTTGGGCTGCCTTTGGAAACCTGATCAGCCCTTTGACGTCCTCGTTTCTTCCGTCTGCTTTAACGACAAGAACACCTTTCAGAACCTCTTCTGACATCCACACACTTCTGTCTTTTTAATGACTGCTCTCTTCATGTAGGATGTTCCTGACATTATCCCACAACCTGTCTGGTTGCTGTCACTAGCGCGCAACGATCAAATCTGCTGTGGAGATGGTCTCTGCATTCATATAGGATCATACTCAGGGCTGGATTTTGTCTACTGTGGACTTGATTTGATTTTCTTCCCCTTCGACTTGCAGATGAGCAGTTGGTGGTCTGCTCCACAGTTGGGCCCTGGCCTTGGGCTGATCATACGGAGTTTCTTCATAATCGCTTCCTCCAGATGCAGTCAGTTTGACTCCTGTGTTTTCTACCTCGCGAGGTTTGCATGAATAAACACCGTCTATGTCATCAAACAAGGCATTTGCAATGAAACGGCTGTTGGTATTTCAAATTGCCATCATGTTAGCCCGGCTTCATTTCTACTGCCAAGGTCGTATTTTCCAACTGCTGATCCTTTTTGTTTCCAATTTTCACATTCCAATTATCAGCAATTATTAATGCACACTGATATTTCCTTTTAAACCTTTAAGGATCTAGGTGTTACTCTGTCAGAGTAACTCGGAATCATGCTTGTCTGGGGGAATGTGAGAGCAACGCTAAAGAGGAACTTAATATTCAAACTCAAGAAGTTGGTGTTATTTTTCATTTTTTTCATCGTTGACCTCAGGGGTTGGTGAGTAAATGTGAATAACAGTTGTATTAGCTGTTCTTCCTTGCAGGCATATAGCTATGATCCTAGAACTGACAGCCTTGTACTTCAAGATAGAGCCTGCGGTGTTCTTTTTGAAGACGAATGCAAAGCCATTCCTCTGGAATTTCCTGGTAGAGTAACCCATTTCAGACTAGTCTTAGGATATCAGACTTTATGCATCCCATCTCATTTGGGGGGACTTCAAATGTGCCTAGATTCATACGTTGTCCATCCCTGTTCTGATTATTAATAGATGTCTATGGCTGTGTCTTCTCATTCTGAGTCATGCCCCGTCAGCTAATGAAGGCTCCAAGAGCTTCGTCCCAACCAAGTCGTTAATCAACTCTGCTTTGAGGAGGCAGCTCCTCCTTGGTTGTATTGTGAGTCCCAACCCAAGGGGCTCACCTTCTGGCACCATATCTGACAATGGCCCATGGCTCTCCATAGGTTTTCAGGGGCTAATCTCTCAGAAGGGTTCTGCCTATTGCTTCTTCCTAGTCTGAAAGTTCCACTGAAGCTTGTTCATTAGGGTGACCCTGCTGGTCACAGCTTCCAACATCACAGCAACACATGAGCCACCACAGGGCAGCACACTGACAGATGTGTGGGACCATGTGTGGGGATCTTGTTGCTCCTCTAATGTGGCCTTGCTCTCACATCCCCCAAGACAAGCATGATTCCTAGTTACTCTGACAGAGTAACACCTAGAGTCTGGGAGGTTTAGAAGGAAAGCCACCATCTACAACCACCAGAAGAGGAGTCCTGGTGGCATGGTGGGTTCCACACTGGGATGGTAACCACAGGACCAACAGTTTGAACCCATGAGCTTCTCCTTGGGAGAAAGATGAGGCTCTCTGCTCCCTAAAAGAACTTGGAAACCCATGTGGTCCCTGTGAGTCAGAATCGACTGGACGGTGACGGTGGACTTGGCTGATGTGGCTTGGCTCCCCAGGAATGTTTACCGAGTCTTCGGAGGGTGCTGTGCCCACACACAGTGCTCGCCTGGCAGAGCTCTTGCCGGATTGGCTCCAGGAATCTAGCAGCTCACCTTGTAGAATTCCGACACCCCGTTGTCTCATAACCAGGACTGATAGCCACAAGGGCAGCAGTTCAAAACCACCTGCTGCTCCGAGGGAGAGAGACAGCATAATGTGCTCCTGTACAGAATTATGGTCTGGGGCACCCACGGGGAGCTCTGCCCTGTCCTGTGGGGTCACAGGGAGTCGGCAGGGATCCGAGGGCAGTGAGTATGGTTTTCCTGTGGTTATCTTAAGCACTATGGTGTTAAGTGTAACCACACCCGTTTGGTTTCTTGGCTGGGTGACAATATTTGGGTGGGGTGGTGGACAGTGGATGATCTGGTGGACCATGAGCAGGAGGCCAGGGAAGAGGGGCATGGGGGCTGGGGAAGGCCAGGGAGTGGGGAGAGGTGAGTGGACACTCAGGAAGGACTTGGAGAGTATGGGTGGCCTCTGGGAGGCCTGGGGAGGGTGCAAGCGGGAGCTTTGGCAGGGCCACCCAGAAGCAGGACCCACTTTGGGGTGTGACCACGGTTCCAGAGAAGCTGTCCTGTGATGCTGTGGCTGTTGCTGTCAGGTGCCGTCCAGTGGACTCTGACACACTGCAGGGCAATCCCGTGCACCGCAGAGCAGCGCAGCGCCTGGGCCTGCACCAGCCTCACTGTGGTTCCTGTCTGGGCGCATCATTGCAGCCACTGTGCCAGGCCATCTCATCGAGGGCCTGCTTCTGGTGCCGCCCTTACTCTGGAGCAAGCACAGCTCCGTGCGGACTCACGGTGGCCCCACCGGACAGTGCAGAGCTGCCCACGGGACATCCTGCATCCAGTGTGCACAGAGGCAGACTGCCACACCATCCTCCTGCTGAAAAGTTGGGGTCCCAACGACCAGCCAAGGGCTTGGCCACCCCTCCCCCAGGAGCCTGCCCTTAACGGGAAAGGCTAAGGGCTTGGCTGTGAAGCAGCATCCTTGGGGCCCCTGACAGCATGCATGGCCAGCATCTGACTGCAAAGCAGCACCCCGTTTCTGCACCTGGTCAGTCCCAGGGGGCTCTCTGCACTGCTAGCCATTGTCCGGGAAGTGCTTCCCAGGTAGGACGCTTCCCCTCTACCATGCCACCCCCCACCCACCCGGGCCAGCACACACAAACAGTACCCGCCCCCTCCACCCCCGGAAGTGCTGGCTTGGGTCTGAGAATTCCACCCCTGTTCCGCATCCTCTCAAAGTTCTGAGTCTGGTTCTGAGAAGCCCAGCCCCTCTCCAGATGTGCTGGGCCTTCCGGACCCTCTCAGTCCCGCCCCAGATATCTGTACGCTCCCCTGCTGCTCCCATGCATAGTATCAAGTGTCTGCACACTGGCCAAGAAGCCCCCAGGCTCCAGGCCTTTGTCGCCTTTGTATCCAAACAGCATCGCCCCCCCTACTGCCCGCTGCAGGCCGCGGGGTGGGTGTGGGTGGGTGGGGCGGGAGGT